GCCCCTAAATATTGTGCAAAACTGACCTGAGGGCTTTCTGATGTTTGCATTAATGGGAGTTCTGGTTCAGGGGAACGGAAAAACTAATAGGTGAAGGATATAGACATAATGTATATCCTCCGGAGGACGAAGAAAGTGGTCTCCGTAGGAATCCATTGCTTCTGCCTGACACAGAAACCCCATTTGTTTCTAAATGACACCATTAATTCTAATGAGTTAAAAAGCCCCCCTCCTTCACACTTCTGCAATTGATGAACAGTAACTGATGGTCTTTGTCGCCCAAGAACACATTCAGCTCAGGCTCACATGAAATGTAGAATATGCATAATATATTGGCCCACTGTGAAACCAGATTTTAATCATAAATGCGGAAATGTATAATGGCTTATTCTTATAACTGAGTTTCAAAGGAACATTGGGGAAATAGTATTAATAGATCACAGGAACCACTTTTTGACACATTACAAAAAAAGTCTATTGAATAGCAATTAACTGAGACAGCAGTACTAAAAATAAAAAGGAAAACCTGGTAAAAATACTGACTATAATAATGACTTTACCTAAATGAGCCTCCCTGGTATTCCTCAGGAAGCAGTTTCCCATCTCGAGCCTTCTGGGCCAGAGCCTATAAAAACACCAGATGGATATTCTTAAAGAAATAAATACATTTGAGGTATAAAAATAGATCAAATACAAAATAGCCAGAATACATGTGTGATATACACAACAGACTTGGAAATAAACCATAAGCATGTGTAGTAATAATTAACTGTTAGTTATTGTACAGTCTGCAACACGAAATACAGAAAAGAATGTTTTCCTAATAAGGTTCAGCTCCTCACAAATGCAACTAATAAAAATAATACTAAAATCAAGGTTTCACGTTGAAAAAACGAAAAGACCGAATAAAGAAACGCAAATGGAATTCAAAACTGAAATTGCACTTTTAAAATGTTCACCATGGTCCTCACAGAAATAGATTACTATCCTAATGTGCATGGGTAAATTAAAGAAACGGGAATGAAAAGCACCCAGAACTGCAGATGAGGCATCTGGTAATACATTAGTTCAGCTAGGTTATGTGAATCCTTGCTCTCTCACAGCATGAATGCTGTCTGAAGAGCTTGGAGAAAACCCAATATAACTGAGAAACAAAGCGTGAAAAAGGTATTGTTTCTAGTGCAAACACATGGCTCATTCAACCTTCTCCAAGAAGGATGGTGATATCAAGCAGTAAAACATTATAAAAGTACATGCTCCACATTATACCACAGACTGTGTTGAAATAATGAAGAGCTTATTGTTAAAATGTAGCACTGAACTTATCTTCTTCTAAGTTATTGGCTTATTTGAATAGAAATGTTCTTAAAAGGTTCCCTCACGGAAACTTGAGAGTGACTCACAAGACACAATAGAGTATGGTGGGTACAATTATGATAAGAGCCCCTAAGTGCAAAAATGTTCCTCTGCATCAAATCAACGGCCAGCAGTGCTCTATTCAGACATTGTGTCAATTTTAATTCGAGACCTTTGAAAACCAGAAAATGCACATTTACCTCAAAGCAGCAGCACAAATAAACTGAATAGCTGTGGGTGGTAAAGAGCATTTTGAAGGCTTAGGTGGACTGACATGTGTGCAGTGTTACTGCTCATGCTTTAAAGCAGCTGTTGTGTATGCATGTATGTTAGTACTGATACATTCTGATCTGGCATCTGAACAACTGACAAATATTATATTATTTGAACTAAAATAATCAAAATAGGTTAAGACAATCACTATAAAAGTAATACATTGTCTTCTGGGAGTCACAACAAATCAGTAGCAATATAATTATATAAAACAGAACACTTTGACCACATTAATTTCAGTTCTCTAAAGAAAAAAAACAAACGAAAACAATTGTTTTTCAATATAATGAAAAAGGAAGGAACGCAAAAAGGAACAAAAGATTAAAAAAAGGAACTCTTTGTGATGCAAAGTGTTTAACAAACATAGCAGCGCTTCTGGTCTGAGCTGGACCACCACGGCAGCCAGTGGAGACAAACTATATAATAATACATGTATATATTTCAAAGCAAGCAGCTATGTGTATTCAATAGGTTGATGAAAAATGTAAAATCGTATTGTGTACACAACTGTTTACACATATTCACCTCTGGTTTTGGTAGTCAAAGTCAAAGTGAAAGTTGACACAAACAGAAGCACCCGATCTTAAGCAATCACATTTGTTGCAAAAACTGATCACATGGGTTTAGGCAGTTACAGTAATAGTATGTCTAAAAGCTAATCACACACCCACTGCTAAATCCAACCACCACCCTGCTGACTATCACTGGCATACACAGATATGCACCGTGCATCAAACGTACTTTCACCCCTCCCAAGTTTAAATTAGCACTCTTGCATGACCAAATGCTATTATACTAATACGGTTTCCACCACTGTCACTGCAACAGCTACGGTTACATGTGCTGACACTGAGCTGTGATGTCGATAATGTGCAAGCAACAATGTGTCATTAGAGCCATAAGTGTTCTAAAAGTCAGCTCTACTTCTTGATTATGGAAAGAGTTTTGCATTTTCAGGTTTTATGACTGATAGCTGATGAATCCAACATCAATGTGTACAAAGATAAGACAGTCATAAAAACAGGCTCTGAACTTTAGGAAAGTTTACATGGGGGGTCACTGTACATGTCAAACATTATATTTTTTATTATCATCGTCTATTTCAAAGTCATTTATAATTCATCGATTTGTGATGCATGCGTCTTTGATAGAAGTGTGTGGCTCTTATCATTAAGTAACTTTTTTGGTGCTTTACATTTTCAGAGCAACCTTGGAAACAAATTATTGTTCCCAGGTGTTTATGAGAAAGCAAAAAACAAAAAACAAAAAACAAAAAAACATTTTTGCTTCATATACCATATCTGATCGATCTCTTCTCCAGATATCAAAAATCAAATTCCAAATCTACTGGCTTGTATATTAGATATAAAGTGCTTCTCCTTTTCAGTTGATTAACTCTGTACAACACTTGGGAGATATCAGGTTAATCTGGTTAGTTAGCTCTGCTATCTGCTGACTTGAAGCTAACTTAACTACAAATACTGTTTTAGCCACCACCACTGAGCTGGTGCGTAGGCTGCCCAGAGTGCTAATTTGGACTTTTCCATGCAGTACTTTTTGCTTTGCATTTATTTATTTTTACCAAAGCAAGAAAAGAAGAAATATTCTGTTTAGGGAACATCATCTTTCAAGGGGTTTTCCAAGCTTCAGAGTACACAGTGGTCAAAAACCATCTGCCCATGTTCCCAGATTTTGTTTCAGAACTAACCACCACAACGTCTGCACGTGTCACTGCACTCTATGGATTTTGAGATTCTCCGTTTTCTCACTTCCCCCCTATGAGAAATAGAGGAGCTTGTCTTGTGTCTGGTGTGTGTGCTACACACCTTCACTGACAGCACTCCGAATATGACCAGTTGTTTGTTTGCTATGTTAATTCAGCTAGAGGTAAAGGACTGTCTAAACAGGGGGTGCCCCACTGAACCTCCACTGAACCTAGCACCAAAGGTTTGTCTTTGCCTCAGGGAGTGACAGCATAGTCCACCAGGGCAACCTCATGAGCCCTATTTAAGGAGGTTTCTGTGAATGATATTTATATTGTAGCTAGTTAGTCATTACCACACTCTTGTTCATCTATTACTGGAGCTCTGACACTGGTTCAGTGGCTACTCTACAGGGCGTGTACATATACTCCATACTGTATTTGTTGTACTGAGTGAATCAACTCCAAGGGAACAGAATGTTATTACTACAACTTCTGTTCCCTGAAGGAGTGGAAATGAGGATTTAATGATGCTACTCTGAATTAATTAAAGTTCCAGCCAGAATCTGTTAGGGTCCAGTCAAGTCTAAATCTCACATTAACTCATAGCATGTCAGAACAATGATTACAAATAGTTGTTTTTTGCCTTCAACTCTTTTATTTTCAAGTTCTTTACCTTAGCATTAGATGAGATCTCCTGGACTCCTTTGTTTGCAGCATCCTTGATGATTGGAGTAATGAGACCTTTGTCTGTTGCCACAGCAATAGAAATATGCACTGAATCAAGTGCACGGGCTCCATCACCAGACCACGTCACATTCACTTCTGGCATTTCCTAGGAAACAGGAGTCAAAGGTCACCTCATGTCTTCATGTTATCAGGGATAAATCAAGACAAAAAGAGATAAGCTCTCTTCAGTCGAGGTGTGTTAAGCTGCTTCCTTATTTCTACAGAGGTTGCTACGGATCCACATATTTGATTTGGCACAGATTTTACACCGGATCTCACCCTTGATGCAGCCCTCCTACTTTATCTGGGCTTCTGACTGGCACTAGGAGACCATTAGTTTGTGATCCCCTGGGGCTGAATTTGTATCTCCTCCTGCTCTAAACTGGGAATCTTTTGAGTGGTTTTAACAAATACTCATCAGAAGTGGAGCCCCTATAATAAAATATTAGTGGTAATGCAAATGAGCTTGACATTTGAGAGGTACACAAATACATTAGACCAACAGTAAAACCAGTGAATGTGACAGTGCCTGTGTTGCTTTGGTAGCTTTTGCGATCAGAATTAAGATATGAATTCACTATTGTGCCAAACGCATTTTGCTTTTTCAGGATTTTCCCTTGTGAGACTAATAAAGGTATCTTATCTTATCTTATTAGCTCTATAATCTAAGGATCTTGGAAAGAAAATCGTCTGGACTTCTTTAAGTTGCTTGAAGATGTTTCACCTCTCATCTGAGAAGCTTCTTCAGTTCTAAGATCAAATGGGTGAGAGTCCCAGATTTAAGCCTTATGGGAGTGTCACCCCAAGAAGGACAATGGACCCCCTAATGATCCTCTACCTAATTACACAAGCCGAAGTGTGAAAACGGGTGTAGGTCACTATCCGCCAATGTTTTGGGTGAGCTCATTGTGAAACCTAGCCCCACCCTATCATCTGATTTCCTGAGGTCAAGTGGCCCAGGATGTGAGTGGGCGTTAAGGCATCTGGGAAGGGATCTCAAAACTGGATTATAGATGGCAGACAGTTAAGTGTCGTAAGCCACCTCCTCTGTTCAAAGATGGTCGTTCACAGTGGACATAGATGGCTTCTTTCCCTCCTCTTTCAAACCATCTGTCTTCTCTGTCCAAAATGTGAACATTGGCATCCTTGAAAGGGTGACCTTTGTCCTTTAGATGCAGATGGACAGTCGAGTCTTGTCTCGTGGAGGTGGCTCTGCTATGTTGTGCCAAGCGTTTATGAAGTGGCTGTTTGGTCTCTCCAATGTGGAGGTCTGAGCATTCCTCGCTACACTGTACAGCATACACTACATTGTTAAGTTTCTGTTTAGGTTTGTGTTTAGATGGCAGACATCAACTGTCTGCAATCTACAATCCAGTGTTGAGATCCCTTCCCAGATGCCTTAACGCCCACTCATATCCTGGGTCATCTGACCTCAGGAAATCATATGATAGGGTGGGGCTAGGTTTCACAATGAGCTCACCCAAAACATTGGCTGATTGTGACCTACACCTACCATTTTCACACTTCGGCTTGTGTAATTAGGTAGAGGATCATAAGGGGGTTCATTGTCCCTCTTGGGGTGACACTCCCATGGGGCTTAAATCTGGGACTCTCACCCATTTGTTCTTAGAACTGAAGAAGCTTCTCGGATGAGAGGTGAAACATCTTTAAGCAACTTAAAGAAGTCCAGACGCTTTTCTTTCCAAGCTTCTTAGACTACAATGACCTGGATGACTGAGAACCTTCACAGACATTAGCTCTATAAATTCTCTGTAGGCTCCTCTCGTTGAGGGTTCATCTTTTTATTTCTTTATTTCTATTTGTGTTATTAAAATTATTACATTATATGTGGCATAGAATATGACAACATCTAAGGCAGGATATGAAGTCATAATAAAAGGACAGCGTGCAAAGAGAAGTGCATTTATCGCCAATTGCTGCACCTTTAAGAAAAAAAACAATCATCTGGAACACAAAAATTCAAAACTGGGTACATAAATCAACATTCTTCTTGTGGGGAGTGTGTGTGTGACAGAGAGAGAAAGGGAGAGAGAGTGTCGAGTGGAAGTGTGTATCTTTGCCATGAAATTTACTTGAAAATGAGGTTGGGAAGTGGCAATAACGTGACACAATATTTTATATTAATATAATAAAATAGTATTTTAGAGTGTAAAATAAGTAAGTCATTATATTCTTATGAAATGTTGCTGGAATAACTACATTACCAGGAAGCCACATCGTCCACAATGTCCTATGCCTTGCACATATTCTTTAAATCTAACAACACATCTTAGACACATGTGTCCAAATGGTTTATTGAGCACTGGAAGAGATTAAAGTTATGGATAACACTGCAATGTTCTAAAAAATACAGGGTTAGAGATGAACAGATGACCCATCTTTAGCAATTACACACACTGAAGAGACAAATGACAACAAATGAGGAGTACTTACTCTGAGTGTAACAGCTGCTGCCTTGATGATGAAGTCATTAACAGACACTTTAATCTGTTCTGAAAGGACAAAGGAGGATTTATGAGAATAACCAAATCTCTGCTTATTATTATCAGATCTAAGCCAAGCGGAAAGCTGGATAAGCTAAAAACCTATGGTTCCGAATGCCAAGGCTGAGTGAAAGTCGAGTATCTTGTACAAGACCTGCAATGTTTCAGTTATCAAAAAACATTCAGTTAAAGAGGGGAAATTCTAAATGAATTCATTTCCATGTAAACAAACTGCAAGTGAATGACATTACACATGCTGTTGCATAGGGAAAAATGCAATATCTTGTTGTTGTTCACTCCAGCTGATCAGAAGAGGCCCCTCTATGCCAAACTCACTGATGCGAATTTGCTTCATTCCCTGCTTGATGTGTAACACACATTGGGGCAGTCAGGCTTGGCATCAGAGCCAACTTTTACTAGTGGCCAATAATGCAGTACCAGACAGTTCTGAATGCTGTGAGCAGTATGATTAATGAGCTAACCGTGAAATCGCACTGGTCGAGAACAATGAGAGTCCACAAAAACAACCGGCGAGAGAATCCCTCCGTACACACACAACCTTGCTAATAGGTCTGGAATGGCCATCCCGTTTCCTCTATCACAGCGACAGGACCCAAAGAGATTTACTGTTTGTTTGACTGTGCTGAAAAGTTAAGCTAAGTAAGTCCAATTACGTGACACAGCATTAAACTAAGTGTTTTAAAATTGGAATCTGACATAGTACTCTTACTTAATCAACATGAAAAAATGTTCCAAAGTAATCACAGGATTCATTTAGGAAATCAAGCCATTAAGGATAGATATTTTTCTTTTTATGTGCAAAAGTGAATGGTTTGTGGTGGAAACTGTCCTTCAAATTACACACCCAAAATTCTGTTTCACAAGCAGTAGCTGTTTGCTCAATAACCGTTGTTAGGGAAGGTTGTGAAGCTGAGGAAGTAATGCCCACACTGCTAGTTTCAACCAATGCTTCATTTGATATTAGAATTGCATCAGACTTACAGTCTTTACTGTTTGTATTGTGTATTTTTTTAAAAAGATTATAAGATTGTAACAATCTATCTTCCCTGTGGTATTCACTGCTCCTACATTTACTGTTAAACCCACATTTATTCCTTGGCTTTCAGTTCTGACTACTTTTATTTTGTCATTTCTTACTCAAGTTTTCTCATTTTATGCTTCATTTCTTAAATGTCACTTGATTATTTGAAATGCACAACACTTAAAACAATAGCCGTTGACCAAAATGTGCTATATAAATAAATTAGACTTGTATTTAGAGGCCTTTAATACCATTTTTTTTAAAATTCCGTAATACTGTCATTTATCACATGGTACACAACAACAGATTTAACACGTTTAAGTATTAATAGTATGCTGTAGAAAATTAAGAAATGGCTTTGGTAGACATGGCTCTTTCCTAGATCACATCAGTAGAAGTCAGCCCTGTGAATCCAACTTCAGCCATTCACAAATCCCCTCTTAAGAATCCATACAGCATGTGCACACTCATCATGCTGAGTAATTCTTTCAGCGTTTATAGTTACTTGTCAAAATGTGGCAAGTACACAAAAAATAGTGATACTGTTGATGCTTAACAAAAAGCACAGCAAACAGAAATAAAGTTACAAGATGTACCCTTCGTCAAGAGGAACTGGCTGCAATTCCTCTTTGGATTAAGTTTGTCTAAATGACTTCTCTTTATGATGCCATACTGTCTCTGTGATACTGAGAACAGGGCTCTATTGCAGCCATAGATATACTGCAGGTCTTGCTTGTGGGGTACTGCTTCATGGATAGGCATTTAAACTTCACAATTAGCTGAATCATTTGCCAAGTACAATAATTTATCTGTCCATAAAACAAAAGTCACCACCCCTGTGGAACACAGATGTGTGTATTGATTTGAAACACAGGAACGGACATGAACTACGAGCCGAATGCTTGAATGAAGCGTCACATTAATCTTCTGAAATCCACAACTTCACAGATAAGCTGTCTTACAAATGTACCTGTCAGTATGCATTAAGGGAGATACCACTTGCAGGACAACAACAGTGTTAATGAAAAGACAAGTGTTTTCATTTCATTGCTTTTACCTTTGGCCAGATCTTTGCGGAGTTGCATGACAGCAGCCATGTCACAGTCGATGGATGCATATGAATGGGGGATGGTGGTCTTTGATTGGGTAAGCCTTTGAGCAATCACACGACGGACGTTTGAAGCTGGAACCTCAGTGAAAGTTCCCTGGAGATATGGAGGAGGAAGAAGGGGAGGTAAATAATTCAGTGAAGGATAAAAAAAAAAAAAACATTTTCAGAGAGCCAACACTGATATGGTGGACACATCTTCACTGCTACTAGCGACTCCAAAAACCCATGAAGTGAATAAATGTTGACGGCAGCCTTGATAGTTAATGGCTGGTTAAAAAGAATCCTCAATCTTTGAGATGAACAAGCAATACCTTACGGGATACCACTAACTATACCAAATGAAACTGATAAATATCTACAGCAGCAATGTAAAACTTAACCATGGAGAAATAGTGATTGTTTGAGATGAGACAATCCCATTACATCCTCTTAGCCAAAAGCGACAAATCCCCAAATGACTGAATGATATCTGGCAGTTTCTTAGTACGACCCGCAATAGAAACTGCGTCATGTAAGAGTATTTTTGAGAGAATGTGTGAGGAGTGATCACCGGTGCTCCTGGTTTTCCCGGTACAGACAATGGAGGTATGTTTGGTCTGCTTCCTGGAGGTAGAGGACTGGCTGCTGGAGCAGAGATGGGACTTGGAGGAGTTGAGGCGACCACAGATGGCACTGCTTTGGGAGCAGGAGATGCTTTCAGAAGATTCAGTGCATCCCTGTTATAGAAAAAAAAAGGACCATTTTAACATTAAATGTGAGAAAGACACTTTTAGAAGAAAAAAACAAACAAAAACAAACTACATCTATGAACCTCCACTGAAGCTGGAAGCACCATATTCAACACCTTTTGTTCAACATATACACTATCCTGGCTCTGAACATGACCAAACCATCTCAGCCTTGTCTCTTTCTTCTTTCTAAGTATGAAGCCATACTACTGCTCACTGATCATTGCCGCTCCTCTTAGCCTAGCTTCAACAGCAATCCTAGTGATTTTCCATTCACTGAAGCCACCTGGAAGAGTGTCAAAACTGTTTTGGATGCAGGAAAAACCAGACACCTCAAACTAGGCACAATAAACACACTGGACTGGGTCAGAAGTTTGTCAAATACTACTCAGGATAAAACTTTATATAAAATTATCAATATTTATGATTGCACCGCATGACAATCCAAATAGACAATGAAAACATGGTTCGTTTGAAAAAAATCATGATTATTTTTTCAGTTTTAGTTGTTCAGTCTTTGTTGAACTGCACCTGATTTTCAGTTCCAGCCTGTTAAAGAGATAACAGACATCATTTATTACCTCTAATAACCCTTTTCTTTTTCATTTTTTTTCCATTTATCAAATGACGTAATTTGTTTATGTAAAAAACAAATCAAAATATTTTCTTCTTCATGAAAAAGTGCTCCAATGCCATTATCTCTGCCTTGACTGTTGTTAACACAATTTCATCGATGTGAAACAACACTTCAGTTTCAGGTAACATTCAGTTTCTTCTGGAGAAAAGGAGTCATGAGAATCGTCCGTTATTCTCAAACACCATCAGCACGGGTAGGATCCGGTGCCAATTGCAGGAAAGAAAAAAACCACTACATCTATGAACCTCCTCTGAAGTCGGAAGAACCGTTTTCAACACCTTTTGTCCAACATATACACTATCCTGCCTCTGAACATGACCAAACCATCTCAGACTTGTCGCTTTCTTCTTTGAAGAAAGTATGAAGCCATACTGCTGCTCACTGATCATCACCTCTCCTCTTAGCCTAGCTTCAACAACTCTTTCCCATAAACTAACGGTATGGCTCATCAACTTAAAAAAAAATAAAAAAATGCTTGAGTAAATAAAAGTTTAAAAAAAAGGAAATAAAGTTAAAAGTAACAGTCATCTGGTTATTGTTTTTGTGAGCTTTTTGGAAAGGTAACATTCAGTTTCTTCTGGAGAAAAGGAGTCATAAGAAACATCCGTTAGTCACAAACACCATCAGCACGGGTAGGATCTGGTGCCAACTGCAGGAAAGCTTATTCAAAACCTTTGGTCTAAGTGGACTTCCCTCTAGCATAGTGAGTCATGGACAGCCTGACTTTAACCATAAAAAAAACAAACAAAAAAAAAAAAAAAAAAAAAAAAAAAAAACACACTATCAAATGCTGTATACTAATTATTTTGATGTAACACTGCATTCACATTAAAGAACTGTTTGTATACAACTTGCAGGTCATCCTGCACCAACTTGATACAACATAATAACACAGTCCCTTCATTAAGTTAAGGATTAAAATCACGCTATCTCGAGGAGTCATTTGAACAAGCAGATGTAAAATGTGGATGTGGAATTGTCACTATGGTAACCCAGGAAATGAAAATTTCCAACATGTGGCTAATGTGCTAAAGCAAGCAAAAGCTAAAGCAATTTATTCAAATAGCATTTCCTAGAGTGCCTGGTTTACAAAAGTTAACAGCACGAGAAACTAGAATTAATAGAAACTTAATTCTGAAAAGGACAAACAATAAAATCCATGTAATAACTGAAGGCATTTAAAGGCAGCATGAAAAAAAACATATAAATATAGCTTTAAATCAAGTTGCTGTTTTGGGCCTTTTATTCAAAATTGAATGGTTCCACATTAATCTCCAGGCCACAGGTCCTGCCACATGCCTTCAGCAGCCCTCCAATTTACAGGCCTTGCAGCTCTGTTTCAAACTGAAAAAAAAAAGTCTCAATACGTTTGTTCAGCATGGCTTTTGTGGGCAATATCAGACAATCAAGACAGCTGATTAAATTGGACAACTTGTGAAACTTGAGGTAATAATATTACCTTAAACACGGAATCTTTACTCTATAATTACATCAATCACTGAGCATGATATGGAAATTTTTCTCTAACAGCCTACAGTTTCATAAAGGTTGTAGAGAAAGTGATTGAAGATATTAAAGACTGCTATTGTAAGAACTAAAATGGGAAGAGAAAGGCAATAAAAGAGAGGAGGTACTAAGAAAACCGCTCTGGATAATTTTGATCCTACTAGTAAGAGCTGGAAGGAGCAGGTATCAGGTGTACTTGTTTCTAGCTCTTTAGTTCTAGTTCATCGGATATGTAAGGGGTCTTTTGTCTGGACCAGCTGCCTCTCACCCCTAGCATAGCGCTAGGAATAGCCAAAGCCCCACAGCTGCCAATTTGTTCCGTCTGGCACATTCACTCCTCCCTTTCTTTTACCTATAAAAGTATGTGTTTGTGGAGGGAAAGGGGCAGCTTGCAAGTCCCTCAGCTAACCACAAAGTACGACAGAGAGTGTTTATTGATTATAGAGGGCTATCAATTTCAATACCACAAAGTATTATGAAAGTCCCATATAAGAATCAATAAAGCCTTTATGTTATTGAATAAATTCAAGTCAAGTCAACAGCAACCTGGAGGGGCCACTAAAAGATGACACTGCAGATACCTCTTTTTTTTTTTTTTTTTTTTT